ACTGCACGCGCGCTCCCCACCTCCCCAGCGCCCCACCGCAGGGTGGCAGGTCCCGCCTCCAGCCAGCCGGCTCCGGGTGGCGGTGGGGGGGAGGGCAGCGGGAGGTGGGGAGCCGGAGGGCGGCGCCTGCTTCCCTGGGGCGCTGTTTGCGTACGGGTGTCTCCACCGCCCGGGGACCGATCTAGTGTTTTCAGGGCCCTGAAATTGCCAGGAGTTGGGGAGCGAGAGGAAGGGTGTGCACTGGGCACTTGGGGGAGGCTGGAGGACTGAAGGCGAAGGTGAACCCCCCCACCCATGGTGTGTGCGGTGGGGCGTCAGCTTTTCCTTGGTTGACGGACATCCAACTCCTGCCTTCCAGAGCCTCTTAGTTCCCTCTCCCACGGTCCTCTCAAAACTGTGCCGTGGTCCCACGCTCCTTTAAGGACTGCTGGTACCCGACGCAGCCAGCTATCTCGTCAAAACGGGCGAGGCGCTCCACAGTTGGCACTCCCAGAGGCCTCTGAGCTCAGGGAAGGAGGAGCTGCCGTGGAAATAGGAGAAGCTGCTCGCCAAGCTGGGGGTCAGAATGAGAACGCGCATTTATAGTTGCGACTGGGAGCCAGGCACTATTAGATACTTTGTAGGCATTGTTTTTATTTAATCATCACAAGTCTGAAGTGGAATTACTGTCCTTGATGACGAGGACATAGGCACAGGGAGGGAAGTCTCTTGCAGAAGGGGCGCTAGCTATTCCATAGCCGAGCCAGGATTCATACTCAAGTCTGTAGAATTCTAAATCCTGCCCGTGTTACCTCAGAAAAGCAGATGCTTGAGTACCGTTTCTGCCACAGGGGAGTCTCCAATGGGCCTCTGACCTTTTGAGCCCAGTTCCCTTGCCTGTTAAGTTAAAAAACACTGCTATCTGAAAGGGTGGGGATTAAATCCACACATAGGAGAAAATACTGTGTAAACTGTGAAGTGCTTTCCAAATATCACCGAGCATAATTTCTGTCCACAGCGTTGAATGTTGGGCAATACCCAAACGTATAAGGCCCAGTCTGTCTTCTAGTCTTGGCTTGGTGGGAAGGCGAAGGGGCAGGCAATAATTACAAGTTGCTAGGGTGGTGCGGACAGGGGTCAGGAGAGCTTGGAGTTTTCCTGTGAGGAGGGCTTGACTTTGGAGGCCAGTGCCCAGGACTTGCCAGAGCAATAGGAGCAGGGACTGCAGTGAGAAGGCAAGTGGAGTGTCTAGAGGTGCTGGAAGGCAGGGGACAAGAACCACCTGCTGTGGAATTTGGACACTGCCCTTGCGTTTGGGTGCACCATTGGAAGATTCTGAACATGAATGACCTTATTTACTTAGGAAGATCCATAGGGAACAGCATCAAGTAGAGGGAGGTGTGAAGGGGAGTGGTTAGTGACTGTGGCAATAAATGTAGACAAGGCAATAGTGGTAGTAGGGGTAGAGGAGACAGGCTTGTGAGAATAAAAGGAATACAAACTCAGAATCGGTCATCTCAACCACATATTGCCCTGCTTAGTCATCTCTTTCAAAAGATGTAGACTAAAGTGATTTTTTAAAAGATTTATTTATTTATGCATACAGAACTGGGGTAAAGGCCAGAGGTGCAAGGGCGATGGGAGGATTCACCAGAGACAGAGTGGAGAGCATAGCAGGCAGACTGATGAAGTACACTGCTGAGGGGAGCAGCGGGCGGGTCAGGAGAGGTCTGCCGTGCCATGTGGGTCACCTCCCTGGAGGATATCAAACTCGCACTGAAGCCGCTGCGGCTAGCTTGCAATGAGTGCTGCGTCCTAACCGTTGTGTCACCAGGGAGGGCCCTAAAATGATTTAAAAAAAAAAAAATCTTGTAGGTCAGGCATGCTACATTCCCAGAGGCTACTTTGTATGCTTTACTCTCAGATCTTGGAGTTGAGATACTGATAACATCCTATAACTGGTCATCCAAGGCACTGAAACCTCATCCATGCTGCCGCTGTCTCGGTTTGTTGCGAGTCATTTGTTTGGTAACTCCTCTAGATATGTCACAGCGAACACAAACTTAATCTTCCCTGAATTTTCTAGGATACAGTATCTAGGAAAATCTCAGATATGACTTATTTGAGGAGAAAGGACACTGGTCACTACCTAGGAAAAGGCTTAAAAGATACGCTTCTGTCCCCTAGAGGGCGCTAGAACTCTCATGGGGAGGGGGTATTGGGAAACTGTCCATTAATCATAAAGGAGCAGCTGTCAGCATGGGGGCCCCAGAACCTTCATCTAGTGCCTCTAGCGTTGAATACCCTTATTTTTCTGAAGATTTATGTCCAGGGCTCTTATCACAAGCTTGCCAAAACTGCTCATATCATAGATAATCGTTCCAGTAATTTAGTCTTCCAAAAATATTAGCCAGATGACCAAACCACTATTCAGCTTGTACCCCTTCCCTCAAGTAATAAGTCAAACAAAATTTTCACTTTGAATTATTCATTTGGCAGTTGTTACCATGGTCCTTGGCAAGGAAGGGTCCAAAATTACTTTCTTTATTTTTCCAATATTCAAAGTGTTGCAGGTATAAAGAGATATCTGGTTGTATAACAGATGTTTTCAAGTCACATGATTGAAAAAAAATTGTTAGATCAAGCTACTCCAAAGGCGTTCTGGGGCTTACTACTTAAAGGAGCATTAAAGTGCTTTGTTCTGGAAAACAATGACAAAATCCAGAGCAGCTGTGCTTCTTTGGGTCTCTCTGCCTTCGGATCCCTGCCCTCCCCCTTCTCGGTACAGAGGAAACCAGCCGAAAATTTGGTTTTCCAGGGCCCTGGCTTTTGCTGATGGGGTTTAGCCAATAGCAGGCACAATTAGGGATTAGAGTGTAACAGTAAGGAAGACATCCAAGAATTTCTTACCCTCTCTGCCCAAAGTGGCCTCTTTAGCAGAGGCCCATTTCTTTTGTAAACTGACTTTTTTGGCTTCCAACATTCACTAGATGACTTTGAACATTTGGCCTCCGCCTCATGACTCTGAGTTAAGAGCGGTAGTGCTTCCTGTAACTGTAAATATTTGGGTTACATCATAGTCTTCTGTTTGGCCTTTGACTCCCCCTGCACCTCTGGAACCTCCTGGCTGTATTTGTAATCCCTGTGTTCTCAGTACTTAGCACTACACTCCAGGGTTCTGATTTTCACATTCTTTTGTAGAGGCCCAAGTGTAAGCCTAGGGCTGCAGGTAGCAGTGATGTCATAGGTAATTGTTTATGAATCTTCACGACCTCTTTGCCAAAGAGCAGTGTGGTGACAAGAGCGCAGACCTCCACACTAAGTCAATCTGGGGTCATATCCTGCTTGAGTTACTTGCACTGTGTGACCTTGAGGAGGGTATTACCAATATCATCATTAATATTTAATGATGATTTAATACCTGTGGAATAATCTTCAATATGGTAAAATATGAACAGACCATGCTTCAGTAAGGGTTAGACATCTTAGCTGTGTCTAACAGAGAAATGATGTCTTTCCCTTTAATTCCTACAAAAGAAAATAGGACTTACACGGGACTCACATCACCTTTATGATTTCTGTAGAATTATATACAGAATTTCCAGTCAAAACATTGACAACAGGGTACATACCTTTTTTCCAGTGTTTCCCCTTATTTTAACACAAAGTCACATTTACAATGTGAAGTCACTCCTGATTTGTTGTAAGAAACAATCTTCTTGGAAAATAGCAGAAAGAAAAGGATATTTGAAACACAGTGGGTGTAGTTTTGGTGTTTTACGAAAGTTAGTGTTAACAGGGGATGATCTGAAGGCAGGTGGCATCCTTGAGGTTGACGCATACGCATCCAACTCTGGGGATTGGAAGCCTTTGGCTCCTCATGTAGGGTTACACCCAAAATATTACATGGGGGCTGAACTAAGCCAGCCTGGCAAGAACTCACCAACCCCTTCTAGTGGTCAGAGGGGCAGCTGCTTGTGATAGTGAGGAAAGTGACTCCAGAGGCTCTTAAACCTTGACTGCATTGAAATTATCCTGTGAACTTTATAAATGATAAAGATTCGAAGGTCACAGCTTCCAGAGGTGGAATTACAGAGGTGTGGAGTCACACTCTGGAATCTGAATATTTAACAGATACTTTGATGTAAGTAAGCATCTGACCCCACCCTGAGAAATGCTGGCATTAGTATTTTGAACACAA